CTTTTGTACAGTAATAATATCTTTACTTGCACTACAGTAATTGTATATAAATTTTTTGTTAGAAAACAAACAACATATAATAATACGGATATTAATTTTATCACAAGAATAAGACATTGTGTCACAAAATAAAAATACATGCTGTGAATAAGGATTCTTGATGTGTTTGCCTTCGACCGGAATCGAACCCATGTCTAAAGATTACTCTGTTAGACTACCATTCAAAGGCTTCATTACATCTAATTTTAATATTAGAAATATAAACGCTGTTATGCACATCAAAGTATGGACCCATCATACTGGTGAATAAATAATAAATGTGTGAACCTTTCACACCTGTGGATGAAATAAGAAATGTGTGAACCTTTCACACCTGTGGATGAAATAATAAATGTGTGAACCTTTCACACCTGTGGATGAAATAAAAAATGTGTGAACCTTTCACACTTGAGGATGAAATAAATGTTCTAGGTGAAACGATACGTACAGGGAGGTCACATCACAGTACATAAGGTCACATTTTTATGTCAAATTGTGTTGAAACTTCTTGACTAAATATTTCAGAGCAGGTTCAAAAGTAAATTTCTAGTAGTGAATTTGAAATGCTAATTACATCATATTTGCAGTACTTGACTGACACTTGGGTGTCATAAAACAAGTAGTAAGAAACTTAATTTAGCAAGTGTAAAAAAGTACTGTGTATCATGCATGAAAACTTGATGCACCAGTGCACCAATGTATCGTTTCAGCCCTAATAAATGTGTGAACCTTTCAAACTTCTGGCTTTAATAATAGATGTGTGTACCTTTCACACTGAGGAAATAATAAATGTGTGAACCAATCACACTTGCTAAAATGAATAAAACTATATGAAAATCTAAAAGGCACTCACTGTAAAGGACGATGAACTTGATAACCCTCAGCCTTTCTTCAGCCATCGGATGGTGCAGAGCTCAAGCAATTTTTAATGTTTTACAAATATTTCAGTACCTACCTCACGCTTTGTTACATCATGTTTTGGCCACAGATGAATCAAAATTCAAAATATGTGTATAGCAACGAAGAAAGGGACGGGGGCATTATGATTATTTAAGATACATTTTTGGGGACTTGTCATTTATTGGGAGGTGGGGGAGATAGGAGAAAATGTTACATTGATTGTGTGGGGGTTGGTGAGTTAAACGCGATGCAGTCCTTAGAGCGCTTCCAAGATACTATCTCTGCTTAAATTTACTATGTATTTTCGTATCGAAGAACGATGTATTATTGAATGATTGCCCAAATAATTATAGAATCTATAAACCGGAAGTTATCCCAACCGCATGTAAAAGGGTGTAATATTTTGCACACTGCCAGTGAGTCATTAATTCGAAGAATAAATTATTGTGACTGACACTTACCTTCCGTACAAGATCCGTGCTCACCGCTCTTTCCCTTGTCAGTGCATCTCAAAGCGTCCTTAGCAATGGGGGCATGTTGTTTACGTGAACGAAAACTGAAGCACTTATGTTGTCGGCATTATCGCGTCGGTGCTTACGTTATTTGTTTAGAGATCTCAGTTGTCTAAACTAATGACTAATGTTCTACCAATGACCATGATACCAATATTGCACTGTGTAAAGTGACAAAATGGGGAATAGTTACTGTTACAATCTTATAAAATAACTGCTCAGTAAGAAAAGCCGAGAAATAGCAATATCAGAAACTTACCGTTCTATCAGATCGATTTTTCTTCCTGACACTCGAGCACCTCGTGCTTTGAGCTCAGTCTTCAGTTTGGGCAACTTCCAGCTTCCGTAATTCATGATAGAAATAGGCCTTCAAGTACTACCGGCTGTTTACAGAAAAGCAAGTGGGTCAATGTCGACTGAAGTTTATATATTCCCGCGGATACTACGATGAATGTTGGACCGTAACTACCGCAGCGCCGCCAAGCGGGCAAGGGGGCGCAACTCCAGGAATGTTTGCCATTGGATATGGAATATGGAGAAAGAACATCCACCAGTGTAACCTTAAAATGATGAAACGTCGGTGTTGGAATACTGCTCTTCACAAAGGGGAAGTTCACTTTTGGAAAGTTGGAAAGTTGGAATCACCCCCGTTGTGAAACAGTCTTGTGGAGTTATACTGAATAACAAAAGATCTTGTGACATTGAATAGTGAGTGAGTTGTGTTTTACGCCGCATTTAACAGTTCCAGTTATATCACGGCGTGTCAGCTTCATGTGGGAGGAAAGCCCGATGTGATGCAGGTCTTCGGTGAAACCAACGAGCACGGGTATGGTGCTGACAAACCAAGAAACATAATCGGGGCGAACCGGGTTTCGAACCCACAACTCTGCACAGCGAATCGCGGCTCCTTAGACGACTGGGCCACCCATGCTCCCTTCAATTGAATAAGATTTAATGCAAAGTTATGTTTTTTACCAAATCTGAAACAATTTCGGTTTCCAACAGATAAAAGACTCCTGTAAGAATTCAAATGGTTTAATTTGCCATACTGACTTCAGAAAATGCGTGATTTCATAAAAAAAAACATGAACATGCCAAAATGTCAACTTACACATCAATAGCGTGTGTGTCCACCTCTGGTGGCGATGCAAGCAACACATCTTTGTCTCTTGGAAGTCCTGTGGGATATCTGTCCATGTTTGCTGGAATATGTTCCTGGAGCGTCTGTGGAACACGTGGTTGACGTTGAAGGCGCCGATCCAGGGGATGACATACACGTTGTTTTGTTGAACAGAATATCGAACAAGTCGAGCAATTTGAGGCCGGGCCTTGTCACGAGGAAAGGTAATGCCTGGGCCATGACGACGCAAAAGCGGTAGAACAACAGGGCCGATGATCTCGTCGGAGAAAGTCAGTGTTTGACCCACAGTCTGGGGAAGGTTTTTGCGAATTGTGAATTTGGGGAGGCAACAAAAGACATCATAGCCGGGGGGTTCAAAATCAGTACCTGGTGTGGCCACCACGGGCGTTGACTATAGCCACACTTCTCTTGTACATGCAGTGGACTAGCCTGTTGATGAAGGCCATTAATATGGGGATATGGGCCCATATCCTCAGGAACGCTACCCGCAGTTCTGCTGCAGTTGACGGCCTTAGGCGTACGTCGTTGGGTCGGCGTTGGATCTCATCCCACAAGAGTTCAATGGGATTCTAATCCGGACTGAGGGCAGGCCAAGGCATGATTTGGATGTTGTGCTGGTAGAGGAAGTCCCTGGTGACTCTGGAAGTGTGGGGACGGACGTTGTCTCGCTGAAAGGTGTGGTTTTGATGACGGGCAAAAAAAGTTCAGTCCGATTCCACCCAAACCATGATGCTTGGGCCGCCCCACGGGTCTCGTTCCATAACACAAGCATCAGCATAACGTTAGCCCCTCTTTCGCCAGACCCTGACTCTGCCATCCACCGTTGAAACACAGTAGCGACTTTCATTAGTGAAGATGATTCTTCTCCATTGCTGTTGACGCCAATTTTGATGCTGCCTGGCCCAATGCAGTCGGGCCTGTCGGTGACGATCTCTCAGGATGGGTACACGAGCAGGACGGTGGCACGAGATGTTGTTGGCAGTTAGATGACGCCGGACTGTACGATCACTGATGGCACGCTGGTGGTTGCCAAAGGTTTGCCGAGCTGTTTCAGTGGCCTTTCGGAATCGATTCTGCAGATTTTGGCGTATCTTCTCTGGGAATAGTGACTCAAGGACGACCACTACGCGGTCGGTCGTCGGTCGTCGGTGGTGATGTTTTGGCGATGTTGCAAACGATATATCGTTCTGACGTTGACATTGAATGCATGTGCAACGATCTGTGCACTCTGGCCTGCTTGCAGTCTTCCGATCGCTTGTTGCCTCTCAATTCCTGATAATCTTGGCATAGCTGATTAATCGAAATAACGAAAGCCAGCTTAACAGTTTTGATTTTCTTTTATACCCATACCATCCACGATATGCACGTGCATCATGTTTTTGACAAGATTTTTCCGCAACTGAGTCCCATTGCACTTTTGTAGGCTGCGTTTGGGCAAAGCACTCCATTTTACACTCAATTGTTAAATGGACTTTAAGGCAACAAAAAGAAGCAGTAGAACGATAAATGAGTTTATTGACCACAGAACATGTCACTGCCAGTGTCTGTTAAGTTTTATCAGTATTTTCAGAAGTGACGTTTCTTTTGCCTTTCAGTATACATATTCAATGTCTTCGAAGTAGTAACATCATAAAGAATAACTTACAATTTACGCTGTCAAGATATCACACAAGTTACATGATGACCAGTTATCAAATATCATGACGACAAGCTGATAAAGTGAGAAGAATTTCCTTGCCCAAAGAGGCACCACATGTGCATGTGCTTCAGCGTTGGGCAGGACCGAAGCCCTAGAAACTCTAAGGAGCCAAGCAGCCGAACACAGTCACCCATCCAAGGACTCCCCGTGACTAACGTGACCTGTGGTTTAACGCCGCTTTGAACTAAATTACAGTTATTTTACAGCGTGTCAGGAAATCCCTGAGTGTATGGTTCTGGGGTTCAATTCCACGATCACAGTTTTTTGGTACTTCTACATTTGTAAGGGGGCAGTCGGGTAGACTCGTGGCTGAAGGGTTCGCTCGTCACGCTGAAGGCCCGGGTTCGATTCCCGACATGGGTACAATGTATGAAGCCCATTTTTGGTGTCCCCCCGCCGTGATATTGCTGGAATATTGCTAAAAGCAACGTAAAACCTTCACATTCACTCACTCACATTTGTAAAAGACGCAAACGACAGGGCCGTTCTGAGACCAGAATTAAATTGAATAGAAATAGCAACGTTGTTTCTTGCTGTGAAGACACATTTGGTTTATGAAAAACGACACAGACAATAACGATATATGAACTATATTGTTGTAAGGGCGACAATCTGACAACGCGACAGTGTCCCTTCTAGGATTCAATACATAGGAGGTAGCTGCACACATGATAAATAGATGAACAATATGTAATAGTTTACTACCTACCTGTAGGGAACACTGCAGGTTCCAGTGTGATGACGTTGTGTACTGCAGTATCTGGGATACCATTCGGCCTCTCTGTTGGGGAGAACGTGACTGATCTGACCATTCCTGCCACATTGATAGTATTCTGCAGATGTTGTACGTTTGCTTGAACAAAGCTGACTCCAGTCCTGTCAAAGGGTATTTCCTGTGGTGACTCCTTCAACATGGAGTTCAAAGATGCCTTAGATGATCCCATTACTTGAAGAGCTTCTACCTTGTCAGCTTTGTTGCGCATCTGTCGCATGTATTCGGAAGAAGATTTCACTTTAGTCAGCAGTAGTCTTGTCGAATCCAAGGCCTCCTCTGTAACCTTCAGATTCTCAGCAGATTTCCCCTCAACATCTGATAGAAGGATTGTTCTTCTTTGATTCAGCCTATCCTTCAGGTTGTCAAAGATTTTATTGATATCATCTCTTGCTACCTTCATTGACAATTTGATGTTCTCTATCTTCTTTTGAAGGGCTGACTCCGTTTCGCTCAGTCTCTTTGTCTTCTCTTCTATCTTTCCTAAAACATCATTTATGGACTTCGCCTTTCCTTGGTGTGCTTCATTCACGGACACGACGTTGTGTCCCTTCCCTTCTTTGTGATCTACTACAGTGCAGGACACACAGACGACTTTGTCACAAGTGTAGCAGTAGAACTGTACAGGTTGTTGGTGCTGACTGCACTGATGTAGACGACGAAAACTCTGTAGAGGTCGGCCCTTCATTTCATCAAATGTATTTATAGTGTGGGTCTTTGATACCGTATTCCGTTTATGGGCACTTAAGCAAATGGAACATAAAAATGTTCCACAGTTGTCACACTGAGCTACAGCTATTTCCTTGTCAGGGCAATCTGTACATGGCAGATGGAGACCTTTCTGGATCTTGAGGTAGTCCAGAGTCTTCAGGATGACAGTCTCTTTGGGCAGAGATTTCACCCCACCAGGCAGATTATGTCGCCGTCGACACATGGGGCAGGATAGGGTTGCAGCACCTCCACTGTAGCTTTCCAGACAGGGCTGACATATGGACTGTACGCAATATGGCATACGACGAGGAATTCGTGTTGCGTCATCAAAGTGTTCTATACATATTGGGCACTCTGTCAGAAGATCCTTGATCGCAGCAACTGAGACAAGATCCGACATGATGTCTGGCAAAAGACAATCATCACGACCATGTTAAATTAAATGGAATAAATTTCTTTCATTGTGATGGATTTCAACATATATTATGAATTTGAAAGTGTCGTGAGACAGTGCTTATATATGTGATCAATTTCCCGAAGCATACATGTAGACTCCCACCTACACATACGCATCTCATCACTTCACACGAATGTTACAGACTAGGATTCAGAATTCCCCTCCTCATATACATGTTTCTCTTTCGGGTATATCACTTTTGCTATGTGTAAAGCGATGTATTATTTTAACCCATGTGAGAGTGATGTTTGGCTTACTCTGCTCACTGTAGTTCAAGTATTTACCGACATGTCAGCTTAATTTGGGAGGAAAGCTCGAAGTAACGTACCCAATAGAGAAACTCACGTGCATGAAAGGGGTGCTGACAAACTTAGAATCATAACAGGAGCAAATATTGGATTCGAACCGCCGATCCTGGTTTCAGCAATGTGGAGAGCTGAGCAGCCTGTGTCCCATATCACCTCGGGAATAACAATAGCAAAGGTCGAACCACAAGTACATGTATGGAGGACACGGGTGGCCCAGTCGTCTAAGGCACCGGTTTTCACTGTACACAGTTGTGTCCCTTAGTCATGATCGTTTTTTTCGAATCCCGCTTCGCCCTGATTATGTTTTTAGGTATGCCAGCAACATACCCGTGTTCGTGGGTTTCCTCCCACATTAAGCAGACACGTCGTGATATAAATGGAATACTGTTCGGTGGCATGAACTCGTACATATATGAGTTTGAGTGTACTCAATGAATGTTCATGCACAGAAGCTCCTTTCATAAAAGAAATACTCCATGCCATGGAAAGGTAGGGCAGTACACTGCTTACATACAGCATGTCGTATAGTGAAGTAGTGTGTACTTAACCAAGTGGGCAGGTCTTACACAAATGCTTAAATTTGAAAAAGAAGCTTCACTGAATGTTCCCATCATGTGGTTTATCAAAATGTCAGAAAGATTTGTTATATCCGTGTGTTGATGTCAACGGGTCTTAAAACCAGTCTAGTCACGGTCTAGTGAACGTAACATTCACCTCTCTCTTAATTGCCCTTTGCGTCGTCACCTCTCGGCAAACTCCGGCGGATGATAGAAGTATGCGATTTAAACCACTAGAAATTAAAATTTACAGGTCACTGATTCCCTGACAATGAACGTAAAGACACCGGAGTATGGCATCCGCCCGACTTAACTTAAGGATTGAAGTTGTATTTGTTGACGTTGATCAGCTGATGAAGATAAAGCAAATTCCGTGATCATTCAATCGATGTTGCTCTCAGTTTTCCCTAATTATTTTTTAATGTTATTTTTTTACATTGAGGAATTCCCCTAAAGTAGTTCTGTATGTCTCCGCGCGATTGACAACGTAATCATGTGACATACTGACGTTCGTCGGGAAATGAACGACAGTAAGCTTGGTAGTGTTCACCTTGGCGAAGTCAACCGCTACTGTCAATATTAAAGGGTGGCGACACCGGGCATATTAGGGAAAGGGAAGCTGTTTGTCGAACGGTGACGACGCAGTAAATCTCAAGAATGTGACCAGACTGGTTTTACGACCCGGTGACAGTTGCCATCAACATGGACAGGCAGCACTAACAACACTCATCAAGTGACATTGTGAAACATATGTAACCTTAATTTTATATTCTGTATAAAAATGGGTACAGCGACATTTCATGCTTCTTGCGTCTGTCATTGAGTAACAAATGTTACGCGACCTATATCATTCAGATGTTGAAAACAAGCAGGAAGTAACTCGACATTCACATCAACTTTATATAATCACTACTCCAACATAAACGCTGCTGCATTACATACGTTCTGTGATCCTGACACAGCAACACGTCATAAACAACAGACTGATTAACTTTCTTACCTTAATTAAGAGAAATGACACAGAGAGATGTACAGAAGGCGTCTACATACACGTACACAGACACCACTCCACCTTAGCCTTTCTGCACACGCGCAGTTGCTACTTTGGTTATTATAACAACTTGAAAGACATGACTACCTCGTATGGTGTGTGCAGTCTCATACAATGGTAAATAGGTAAGCTGTAAACACACCTTGTGGTGTGGCGTGGATGCAACCAGGCACGTATATGCACAGACAAAACAAAAACTCTTGTAGTCGAATATGCGCGCAGCTGCAGCAAATTGATAAATGAATTCATATTACCAGTGTCAGTGGAAACTCGAGTTTTTACATGGCATTTTTCATGTAACACCTCATATCAAACCGAGACCCCAATGCCATCCCGAGGGCCAATGAATGGTGGTCGATATATATGATACAATAACCTTTTTATCATATACCATAAAATAATGTATCCATTCATAAAGATCCATAACATTTTCACCTTGTTGAGAAGACGCTGTCATGGGAATATTAGCCGAGCAGACGACGCACCAACTCCAATCGGGTTGATATCAATAGCTCATTCTAAGTGCACTGACAAGGCATAACAGCCCTGCAGGGGTGTAACACGGGTCTGGTTATTGTGATACCCCCCTGTGATATGACCATCTCCATATTGGCATACAGGGGTGTAATAACCCGGCCGTGCTGATATAACGATCGAAATCAGCCCGACTTATGTCCCTTAGTGCGTCGCCTGCTCGTTTGTTGACAGTAATATAATGTATTGCATTCACTGGCAAACAGATACATTTTACAATGTTATGCCATGGTATATGATAAAAAGGCCATATCAATCCTCGACCCCCCATCTGGCCTTCGGCCCTCGAGCTGATATGAGGGTTGGGGTTTGATATGAAAACTGCAATATTATAACCTCTAAATATCACAGTGAGTTAAATCAAAAACTGTATAATCTGAATATGTCATATCTGTCTTGGTTGATCAATCTTTGTTTGTATTTTTTTAGTTAATTGGTGTAGTTAATCGAAATTGGTGTTCAAGAAGAGGACATATATTTGCGATTTGCAATAATTGAACTTTAGGTTTTGTATATCTACCTTAGCCCAATGTCATTGGTAATGTTGAATATCATACTGAGTTCGAGGAACACGTTCAAACCTATTAATCTGAATCTATCATATCTATCCATATCTTTCAATGATGGGACTTCTTTTTCTCCATATCATTTACCTAGAGCACAGTTTGACGAACAGCGTTTGTCGCATGCGGCATTCCAACCTGTAAAGTCCACAGCGAAGAACTGTTCTCAACTGTCAAGGCGTCATGGAAGAAATCAAGAGGAATTGACAATGGCAAGTTTACTGACATCAAGACTTATAGTTAATCCGTTTATGAAGGTGTGTATTTGTGTTTAATTCAGTTCTGTACTTTGGCCGTACGTATTATATTCTCAGCATTTCGTTAAAATTACCCTTTTCATGATCAGGGTTATGTTTGCTTAGAATAATGATAATTGGGCCCTATTATCGCCCATCAACATAACGACAAAATACGAATATGTAAACAACATATGTGTGGACGTTCTTTTCTGATTACGTGTAATTACACACAGGGAACTTGTGTACTGAACTACACTAGGTGATGTAGGCAATACTGGATTTTCTGCTCCGGTCGATGATTTTGACAAAGGACACGCTTAAGAACAAAATGACTACTGTGAAACACATAGTCGAATGACATAGATACATATATGCCAAATTCCACATGTCACGGTGACATCGTGGTAAGTATACAGAATCTACATCTCCCCAGTAGTGGGGCGATGGGGTAGCCTCGTAGTTAAAGCGATCGCTCATCACGCTGCAGGCCCGGGTTCGATTCACAGCAAGCTTGAGGGTACAATGTGTGAAGCCCATTTCTGGTGTCCCCTGCCGTGATATTGCTGAAATATTGCTCAAAGCGGCGTTAAACCTCAATCCCTGCTGGTTACTGACAGAGCAAAAAGAGTCAAGTAGAGTGCATGCGGGTTGCAGTGTCTCTCGGGTAATATGAAGAATAACCAACTCGGAACTCACACCAAATGTCCTATTATGCTACATGCCACACATAGCAACGTCACTTCATATCAAGAATAGTTGCAAATAGTTAAATATGATGTCATGCATTGTGATAGTGGTCAGACACAGTTTTATGTAGCGTCGTTCCGAGATATTTTTACTGAGCTTATATATCCATGTGATACACGGAAACCTATATTTTTCTACATTTCACAAAAAGAAACGTGTGCCGTAGGATAATCTCTAACTCATTTGTAAATGCCTATAAATATTCTCATGTGAAACACTGATAATGATGTTAAAGGAGGTGGTCGGGTAGCCTTGTGGTTGAAGCGTTCGCTCGTCACGCCGAAGACCCGGGTTCGATTCCCGCTATGGGTACAATGTGTGAAATCCATTTCTGGTGTCCCCCGCTATGATATTGCTGGAATATTGCTAAAAGCGGCTTAAAACCATACTCACTCACTCACTCTTAAATTTAAAGAATCAATCTAGCAGTACTGTAAAGATATATTAAGAAATATCAGCATTGCGTATTTAGCGACAAAAGCCTTTACAGAATCAAAAGAAATCTCTGCTTAAAGGCAAAGTCTGTTGTACGATTCCGACTATATCATGAGCAGGTGTCTATGAATCACCATCACTTAGTGATGATACGAAGTGTACACGTAAGGTAAGACCATCCAGGTCCACCAGTGGCACCCGTAACAAACACATGCAAAAGTAATTCAAGAGTTCACCTGCACAAACGCGGGAACATAAAGAAAAGTTAAAACAAGGAATTACATCGCCATCATTTTCTTCAGGTGTCCTTCCACATCGGACATAAAAAATAGTAGAGTTGAATTTAAGATACAATATGGTTCGAGCCTTTCAGGTGAGCAAGGAAGGATGGGATGCACACAATGGTCGCTGAGATCTGTACGGGAGGAATGATCACGAACTCTTTATTCTTTCACTATGGACGTCGGGTCCTGGAGACCATCCCCTCTGATGATGTTTTACGCGTTTATTCACCGTCTAGTCATTTCCCTTCAGAGATAACAACTGGGTCATTCCTTCTGATAGTGTAAGGTTTTGACCTGATATTAGTTCACACGTCATGTTTGAATCTTGGGATGCATCTAGATACACCATGACCCAGAATGTTCTTTCACACACAGTGTCAGTCACAGACTGAATCACTGTAGTGTTGCCAATGTCAACAACATAAATCTTACTGCTCCTACCGCCCAGTAGAGTGTCGATGTAAGGCACCTGCCTTACCAATTTGATTGCAAACAATAGGTATATCAGAGAGGAGTTTGCCATCAAACCTCACCCAGAGACAAAGCTGGTGCTTATGCTTTGGACATCCTATGATACGTACACTCAGTCCAGTTGATTGGTTCCAGCAAGTATCTGCGGGGTTGGCAATCATTGCTGTCTCAAACACCATGCTTCTTTTCTCAGTGACCCTTTTTTCAAAGCGAAGCTGACTTTCACCAGAAACATCTCTCGTCTTCCACCTCTGATAACCAAAGGTCTTGATGTCAACAGACGTCTCCACGACCTTTTTCGACATTCTATGTCTTTGGGCGGAGTCTTGGGCTTTGCATTTGTTACCAAAGTATCAGATACAGTGATGTCGTCACTCGCTGTACTGCAGTCCCATTCAAGGTGCGGACCTAGGGAGGAAACAAGAGACGAACTAATAACACAAACCACATTCATTGTAAGTCTCATTCACAAATACACATTATTGAATCAGTATAACATAACACCCATTCAAGTTGACAGCCGCCTCATAACTGAGAATGTTTTTATTAAAATGATACAAGTATTTTCCACCTCCCATGTATTATTCCTTCAAGTAAAAAAAGTGACATTTCATTTCAGCGAAATATATAGTACAAGACAAAGCAAATCATATGAACAGTTATATGGGTTTTTTTTAATGTCCTTCATCTATCCATCGAACTTCCACGACTATCTGTAGCTTGGGATTTTTTGTCTGTTTGTTATTTAACGCCGCCAGTTATATGAAGGCGGTCTGTAAATATTCGCGTTTGGACCAGCATCGATCTGCGCAATTGGGATATTATGACAAACAGAAAACAAGTCAGCGAGCCTGACTACCCGATCTCGTTAGTCGCCTCTTACGGCAAGCATCTGGTGCTTGTGAAACCGATGAGGATGCGTATGATGTAGACAAACAAAGAGTCATAGTCAAGGTTCAATTTTGATTCAAACCAATCATCTACAAACTTTGGCATAACCGTCTACGGAAATCCGCACAGGAGCCTTACATCACAGGTCAAGCGGTGCCCCTTATGTTGATGGGCACATGAGTAAGATAAGTTGGAGCTTAAACACATGACATCTCACATGAAATGGCTTCATCTCCACTGGAAATCGTCTTGTCCACATCAGTGACTTAAACAGATTACAATGTAACTAAGAAATGAAATAGACCAACTGTCGAACTAAAGATTATGATATACCTTTATCTATTTAAAACTAAATGTTAGTTTCACTACAACATACCCAAACACACTATAATAATGAATATATCCAACCGTTTACATTTAGTTATAAACTTAAGTCATTATAAGCAGACGTGGGACAGTAGTCATCACAAACTGTCGAACCACAGCTACCTCATGTCGACAATAACATTTTATAGATATTTTTACATACATGTACATAATAAAAATTATTTTACCCTTTTGAAATTCTGCAGGTGTCAGTGTGATGGCAATGTATCTGTCAGCCCCTGGTACATATCCCGGCCTCTGTGTTGGGAAGTACGTGACTGACCTTATCAGTCCTGCTCCCTGGATTGCGGAGGAAAGGTGGGTCATGTTGGCAGGTACAAAGCCTACGCCTGTCCTCGTATATTGTTTCTCAATGTGAGACTCCTGCAACATCCTTTTGAAAGAAGAAGCCGATGATGTCGTAACTTGTAGATCTTCTGTCTGGTCAGCTCTACTCCTCATCTGCTGTGTGGTTGTCCAAAGAAGACGTTACCTTGTTTAGCAGTTGTTTAGTTGACTCTACGGCCTCGTTAGTGAGTTTAAAACCATTGCTAAAAAAGCCTTCAATGTCTGACAAGGATCCGTCTTCTGTCCTGAAGTTCTATTATCTTTGGTCAGTGCTATGTTTGGCAGGTTACATGGCAAAGTCAATAACATGCTCGCGTTCTCATAGCCTCATATGTTTGTAGGTTTGTGTGTGGCTTAAAACTAACACAAATATATATGTGTATTTATTATTTATAGTTATATATATTTGTATGCCAATATATTTGTGCTTTTAAATATTTATATATTCCGTCTTTACACTATATTGCTACCTTATAGTAAAGAACGATGTGTGTTGACATTGCTTCATATAGAAGAATGCAGTGCTGTCAAGCCCGTGGGGTATTAATGATGTGTGGCAATAGAAAGGTAACACAATTCACAAGCACGAACAGTTTAACATCGGTTTTGAAGAAGCATTTTACACATATCCAATTAAGGGAGGCTTAAATATACTTATACCAGTAGACTTCATATATCCTGTATAACAATGCCCTTTCCTTTCAAAAACAATGATCAGTTTCTGCATTGATTCTAAAACATCTAGTTCCCGGTTATGTTTGGTCACTTGCAGTCTATGCGGCTCGTAAGAGGTGAGAAAGTGGATCTGGTGGTCAGGCTGGAAGACTTGGTTGATTTGGCGTCATCATACCTCAGCATAGATCGCTGTTCATAATATTATCAATCACTGGATATACTTGGCCAGATTCGATTATATACAAGCCGCCGATTTATAGCTGGATTATTGCAGAGTGTGTTATTAAACAAGAAACTTCTATCCTTGGTTATTGCAACAGGTACTCACTGTACTCACTGTACAAACTGTACTCACTTAATACAAACGTCTCTTGAAGCTGTTTCTGTTGTAATTATTCGTGGGGCGTATACTGACCTACAGCCCTGCATATGTGTCACACACACGAGAACTGACAAGTTTTGACAATGCTCACATAGATCTAGACGGCCGGGTTATTACAACAGGGTTTGATGTTATCGTTGTTGGTTATCTCAATGACCGCGTTTCTGTTTTAGTTAGTGAGTGCGTTACACAACATCATTTCGTAAACATTTCAGCCGTATAGCCACAGGAATAATATTTGCAATCATAAAAAAGGTATATACAATAAAACAGTAAAAAACAGATTCAATATAAAATATTCTCTTTCAGATGTGTGAAGTTAGGTTCCCACATTCATTCAAAACGTTTGATGTATTATCATGGAAATGCGATATTTGACCTCAGCGACTTCATGCATGAAGCAATTCCTTGAACTTTACTTGATTGTTTTCTCCGCGTGCAAAGACGTCAGTTCCTCGACTTTGTCACTGGTAGCATATTTAGATATGTACTTATCTTCTTGTTAACAATAGTTTGGCTAAAGTTGAAAATATCAGTTTGAGTTTAACTGTCACAGACAGCATACCTTAGAATTATTTAGCTTGTCATAATCTAAAAGAACTAAACCTAAAGTAATAATAGCGCTACAAAGCGTAGTACGTAGTACCCGTAGTATTATCAGTGTATTACACCTTTAAGCACATTTATTGTTTACAGTAAATCAGATACAACTGGCACCGGTTTAAAAGTCGTACATTTGCACTGTCACACCTCCTTCAAGCATCATATTTATCGCATCTGTGGCCTAGTGGATAGTGCGTCTGCCAACATAGCGGAAAGTTGGTGGCTCGATCCCCGGTTGCGACATACCAAAATACTCTAAAAGAAGGTAACCTGTTGCCCTTCCTGGAGATCGGCATTAGCAACATAAATTCTACCTAACTTAATAATTTGAAACAGTCACAAATTCACAAAATAGATTACAGCAGTCACCTTTCACAAGGCTGCTACCAGCAAGTGAGTATAGGTTGTTTTGATGATTGAATTAGTAATGCTCCTTCTGTGTCATGGGGGCCTGTCAATAATCGTGTCTAGATCAGGCTTACCGATGGTTGAAAGCAACATGCATGCCCAGTGACATACAATCAACCTAGTCACAGAGCCTGACTATCTGATCCGTAGTTTGGTTGCCTCTTTCAGCACGCATGGGGTTGTCAGGACGTTTCTAGATCCACAAGGTAAATAAATAAAAAAAAGTGCAAGTTTACAAATACATTTTGATAGTTTTATTAATATTCAAATCAAAGAAGGCACAAATATTAAATTACACATACTTTGCATTTGTTAAGTGATATATTTAGACATGTAAATAATATAGGTTTGTATTATGTTACGTGTTGACGTCCAAACTGAAACAAGTGGACCCATAAATCCATGTATAAAAATATTTAGTGTGAAACCCAACAAACGGCAAAAAAATGCTATACAATCAACAACTGTCAAATAGAATTAACTAAGTTTACAATTCGGTACAAAATTACTGCAAAGTGGCAGTACAAAATCTAATGTCAGTATAATATACACAAGTATATATGAAAGCAATAAAGTCATTGACATTAATATTTACCTTGAAGCAACAGCGGTCAATCTTCAAAAATAGGCCTAGTCTGGATGCAGGGTGGAAACAATGATCTTCACACGATTATTTTTCACCAGCCTTGACTGTTGACATTTCAGCAGTTGCACTCAGTGACCACTCAATGGAATGTTTGAAGCGTGCGTACGCATAGCTGCCTTGTCTGATGGGCACACATATTTATACAGGACACTAGTTCATGGTGAATGTAGCGTTTCCTCACGAAAGATACAGAACTTCTGTGTAAAAGTCACAACTGTCACATCCAAAAAGTAGCGTCGAATGCCGTGAAATCTTGAAACTGACAGGTACAAATCACTTGTGTCATAAAATCCCTAACAAGCGGTTTCATTGGCAATCACATTGAACCAGCAGGCTCATTCCCAGTAAATCAACTGGTTAATGTGGAACCACATCATAAATCGGGTTGTCTTCATTGGTTCGTGTAAAGCGCTCGGTTACAAATTCAAATAACAGGTATCTCCTCTACAGTGGGACTACATTAAATTTCAAAACAGGGTAAGTTTATATACGATGTTTATCTAACAAATTCAAGCAATTCTGAAGCCCCATTCATAACATGGCAACATAACCTGCATGTTGCACTTCACTATTTCATTCATATATAATACTAACATTGTGAATTGCTGTATCCACTTGCACAACTTATGAACAAAAAATGAACACTTCTTAACCTCTTAATATAAAATAAGGTGCAATCCCTACACAGAGTATCACACACACATCATGTACAGCAGCATTAACGTTAGTAGTGTTCGACTACACAGCAAGTAAACAACATTGATACTAATGAGGCTCTTGGGTTCTATTTTCTGCAAGAAATATAAATACCAATGTCTTAAGGAAGCAAGGCAGAACCGTTATACATTGTACACAGCAGAAACATAAATTATTACTGCTGATACTGATTAATCACTGTGGAAAGAACTTTGGATAATAATTCCACAGATAATAACATTACCACAAATTTTACCAGATGATTTCTTTCATGTGATATTATACAAGAGGTGAAGCAGTCACGTAAAGAATATCTTTCAAAAAGGTTTATTTGAAGACGACTTCCTCCCCCATCCCCATTCCGAGCCCCAATCCCCCAATCCCCAAACCACCCAACTCAGCCTCACCCCTCTTAACCAACCTCACCCCATCCTATCTTGAAGCAACAGCGGTCAATCTTCCAAAATAGGCCTAGCCTGGATTTCCAGGGTGGAAACAATAATCATCACACGGATTATTTTTCACCAGCCTTGACTGTTGACATCCTACACAACCTCACCCCATCCTACCTTGAAGCAACGGTAGAAACATAAATTACCAAACCTCACCCTATCCTACATAACCACACAGATAGGAAACACACGTTCATATTTTACGAGTTAGTTAATGTACTAGGTCAAGTTAGCCATCATTATTGTGTCGTCAAAGTAGTTTGGGTTGGAGTGTGTAAGGTTTAACGTTCCTTTGAGCAGTAGCTCAGTTAAAAAAGAGCGCGTCAGCTTAATGCTGAAATCACGGAAATATTGCTCATAAACCAAGAACCTTAATCTAAGTATGAAATTCGAAAGCACGGCCACCCGGCTATGCCCCGTCCATGACACCTCGAATTACGGCGCATTGAACGACTGAGCGGCCCGTGCCCCCAGCAATAAAAACTCTAATGAAAATATGATTTTCAGTCCAGCCTTCACATTGGGGGTGTTTTACTTACTCAAATGACGTCATATGGCTTACATAGCTTTATATATAACAAACTCGCCGACATTAAATGACGAAGTCCTTTGAGAACGTCATAATCATTGGTCGAAGTAGAGAACATGATTACAGATGAAAAAGTACATCATCATGTCTAAAAAATGAAAATACACAAATCCGGGCTATTTACAATTGCAGTAAAACATGGTAATAACAAGTAATAACAAACATCACGGGACTGTTGAAATGAGTTGATTACAGGCGAGGATGTATCGATATGGAGCGGGGATAGAGATGTGGTGGTGCCCCAGTAGTACCACACGAGTTATCTCCCATGAATTATTGCCACACGTTGACAATGGCAACCCTAATTAAATGATTTCAAGGAAGACTTTTTTGACAGGACTTTTACAGTTGCTGTCAATTCTATATTGCTCTCGGGATAGTACTGTTCTACCTACATGTCTGTATACATTCATAATGGGCCAGAGCAACTACACCACAGTGTCATGTTACTTGAAATAGTATTTGCCTAGGTCAGCATGCGATAATCGGTAAATGAGAATTGATATGATTGTAAAACATTACACCCTTCGTTAGATGCATTTTATGCCAGCATGAGAATATTCAGTCATAAACTTTGTTATTCTAGTCTGCGTTCAGATAATGTCCACTTTGACGCTTGAAGGGGAAGTGTACACGCAAAAATCATTTTCTTTTCTTATTTTAAACAAAACGGAATTTTAGAATTAGTCAGTATCAATGTTTGAAAATATACACTCATTTTCCTCACAGTCAATGTAGCGAGCTCACAATAAGTGTGAAAATGTCATGCCGTTATGAGGCCTTCGTTTTCCGAGCTAAACAGGCCTGAGTTATCCCCCTTAGATTATGACGTAATTGGTGCCAATTTAACTGGGTTCCTGTCTTGTCACAACGCAAAAGAAATCAAGTACCAGTTTATGGTGAGACAACATGGCATCCGATACCTTGCCTGGTCCGAAGAAGTTCCCTTGACCCTTCAAGAAATCGCAAAACCATACGATTTTGAACCAAAACGAGCAAGCTTCGCTGTACGGAAACGATGAAAATCAAGTGGAAACAAGAGAAGACCCACATCACCTAATTTGTCACCCGACCCCGACTCGACATCTACACAAGTAGGCCAACCAGTGACAACGTGGTAAGAATAACACTTTGATGTGTGTATACCTAAATTACCTATATGCTCATTATAATATTCTAAGATAATTTTGTCACGCCGGGTGACCCGCATGCTTCGTCAGCAGGCCTATTCATCCTGTCCCACCCTGTTACGGCATTGTCGTCAATCTGAGTTTGTCTGTATTAGGTGTAACTATTCCCACCACCTATAAGCTACAGACCAATGCTACTTGCCAATATCAAGAAACAAATACGATCTGTCGCCAAACGTTGTCTCAACAAGATTACACATTAGGCCTACCAGCTGATGACGAGACCATATGCTTAGAGTAACACGAAAATGGGGTACGTCCCAGTACGTTTCTAAAGTCGGTTGCCGAGTGGAAACGTACTGGGGGAAAAAAGATTCTTTTTGATTTTTTCCCATCCGAGTTCAAAATACCTGCCATATCTATTGATAAGTAATTGGATGTCGTAATTCACACTTCACACCGTCCCCATTTGAAAGTGAAAAGATAGATCACTAAAGTGCAATTGATTTGTTTAGTGTTTGAAACCAGTTACTGCAGTAGGCCTACAGTATCTTATTCTATTTAATAGATAATTGGTTATTGGTTTGTTCTGACAACCATTCATAGAAAATGCATTGCAACTTTGTAGGGAAACTATTTATCATCTATTATGGGGCCAGATTGTTAAAAAAAATGTTTAGAAACTATAAAAAAGAATCTAATGTATATAATTAATTTTTAAAAACAGTGGGTTGTTTAACTGAGTGGACCAGATATATGTAAAATGTTTACAAAAAGCTCATTTACTGTCACAATCAATACATATAAATTATCTAAGAAACTATAAGTAAAACTTGTTGAATATTAGTGAAAAATCTTTGAAATTGTAAATCTTTGTTTGGAAATTAAGACCTCCCAATCAGACCTTTTGGGCAAAACGTCTGTAACACCGCCCCCTAAAATGCAAATGAAATATGCAATCATTTTTTTTATATGAGTGAGTGAGTAGGGTTTTATCCCGCTTTTAGCAATATTCCAGCAATATTACAACTGGGGGACACCAGAAAAGGGCTTCACATGTTGTGCCCATGTGGGGAATTGAACTTGGGTCTTCAGTGTGACGATCGAACGCTTTCACCACAAGGCTAACCCCACCACCCTTTTTATATTAACACTTGAAATAAAGTTAAGAAAACATATAATATGATTTACTTTCATCAATTTATTTTATTATGCATTTTAAGATCTATCATGCACAACAAACAAATCTGACAAGTAAAATAAGAGATTCGAGTACCATAAATGTTTATTTGCCAGCAAGTTGTGAAAGCATATGCAACTTGTAAGGTTATTATATTACATCAGTGATATTGAAACATGCCCACAATATTTCAAGAAGTATTCAAACCTACAGTAATAAACACATCATGTCAACATGATAGAACTATAAACTGTTTTGGTATTTATTGAATTATTAACATGTAATAATTTTTTTACATATATCATCAATACAAGTTACTTCTTATATAAGCATCCCTCCAGATTTAATGACAAAAATATATATGTAAATGGTATGATATTTTTTTGTAATGTTGTGCATAGCTTGACTAATAAAAAACACTTTTTCATTGCAGAATCTATCTACACCTCATAAACAATAGGTTCACTTTGGGGATTTGCAGAAATAGTTGAAGAATAATGAGAAAAGTTATTCAATCATGTGTTGTCGAGGTGATTCATGAAAGATTTCCATCTGATGTATGTAATGTTTTTCTCTATGCTCATTAAAATAAGCTTTTTTCACTGAAATCTTGTTTTATGGTCTCTGACAACAATCAGCCTTTTTCTGCTTCATTTGATAAGTTTCTGTAATACAGGATGGCTGATGCTGGATCAGGTAGTTTTGGGCAAGGGCGAAGGCCGGGAAAAGACTGAAGAAAATATCAAAAGCACTGGCTAAATGCTCAGTGGCCACTTGTTAGTGCACTGGTTGACTATTTCAAAAGTACAGCTCTCTTGATGTCTAAAGCACTGTACCTCACAAGACACTCTAATATTTTATGACTTGTAACTCTGCATGAAAATAAACACAATTTGCACACAATGAAAATGGATCTCAACACCAGGGATTTCTTGTGACACCGTTGGGGCAGGATACTCTCACCTTTCGCGAACACCTGGTATTATCACTATTTGATAGCGATTCATTAACACGTGCTCATGATTTAGTCAGAATCGTACCATTAACTGATTTTTACAGCGTTTACATATGAATATGGAAAGGGTTTTGTCGCATTTATACTCTTCCATATCATTGTGGGACCTGAAAAATATAAATATAATTTAAACATAGATTTGTCAAAATAATATGTACACTGACTAAATAATTGTTAAAGAAGGTGGTAATAATCTTCAGCAGTGTCAGGCATGTCACTGGGTGCCTGAATACAAATATCATCAGTAAACTGTACAAATTGTATCAGATCTAAACTTTTATATGTCATTCACAGTATACGTTCATTTGTCATCCACTCTACACTTTTACAACAAAAGACAAACAATATAGAATATAAGAAATTATTTGCATATAGTATTTACATGATTATTCATTGTCAAAATATTATTTTGTACCTCATACTGTGAAGCATGGTGTGCCATGCTTCTGGTGTACATTGGACAGAGACTTTACACCATGATGGACTGGGGACCTGTACTTTCTGGGCATCAGTGTCTGGCATGACTTGGCTCGAAACTTCATATTTGAAAGATACAACATAGAAACATTAACACTTTTGTCATCAATATCTCACTATCACAAAATATAAAATGGTAACTTGATTTTTTTCATGTATAAATGTGCTATAAATAGTATATGTGTGTAAATTGCAACATGAAATTTGAATATTTTGGGTGGTAGGTGGGAGATGATTTTGGATAGTGACTGGCTATTTTGCCAGCTACAAACCAGCAAAACCAGATATCTTTTTGAATAAAAAATATATAGAGCCCAAATATAAAAAAATAAACATGTTGCAACAATGTATTTTTGCAGATTTTTGCTTCAACAGTCTGAATCAAAATTATTGTACATGATTATTTAAAGATTAGGTACACACACAAACACACACATACACAGAATTTCAATGAGTTTATATAATTTATAATTTGTTTTCCTGTGTTATTATAAAGTTTATTAAATACCGAAATGAGATGATTTGTGTTAATTCCAGACGGGAATGGCTGTTAAACTAAAACATTACGTAACACAACTTACTCCATCAACAGGAGTTTGCTGCATACTGCAACGATCAGCTGATCAGGAGTATCGACATAACCATGCAGGAAGTGAACATGTGAACGAGACAACATCGCGGATATTCATGATTATCAAGTGAAACTATGTACAAATATCACCCTACCCCTGCTAAAATACATTTCTTACATACCACTGTGGTTAGAATAAACTAAAACAGCAAACTTACCTGATGAGTTACTTCAACTTTACGGCGTTTGTTCACAAAAACATCCCAGTCAGGGTCTTGATGAGAGTGCTGTCCCTTTAGCCCGTTTCCATATAAGGATCGTACACCTTCCGCTTCCGATCAGTTTCAGCACAGGACCATATGTAACTAATAACAGTAACAAAAACGGCCTTCGACCTCGTCTATAATTTTTTGGCGAGTTTTTTTTATTGTTATTATTAGTCACATATGGTCCTGTGGTTTCAGAACCAGCAGGTATCTAAACTCTCACGGAAGACGACAGCAAGAGCCAATAAGCGCAACACAAATGAACGAATAAGCGCAATTCATACAACGGACCCTTCCAACCATAATCGCGAATCTTACAGTATGTTATCAGTGCATTGTTGTCTTCTCAGTCGCGATTTTGGAAAACGAAATAATTTTAGAGTAATTGTGCTTAGCGTTGTATCTTGGACAGCTCGGCACCGAACAAAACAATAGCTAGGCTGCGCATCTGAGAAGATAGAACCACACACCTACATACACCACGGGAAACGCGTCTAATAAAGTCTTATGACGTCATTCCTTTATCAATTGGCACCAATGACGTCATATTGCAAGGGGCATAAGGCATGGTGTGTTTATTTTGGAAATAGAACTCTCTGTAAATGTGATAAATATGAACCGATTTTATGAATAAATTAAATTAGATACTTGTGATATTTTAATTGTTTTGCTTCCGAAACTACTAGGTAAATACTTTTCATGATGAAAAAGTGCAAGAAAAATAGGTTTATTTTCGTGTGAACTTGCCCTTTAATGTATTGAGATAGTAAGACACTGAGGAAAAGTACTGAACATCAGCCGTGTTGCATTATTATGGCTTCATATTTCATTCGGATTTGCATTGTTTGTTTGTTGTTCAACGTCGCAATGAGCAATATTCGAGCTATATGACGGCGTGCTGAAAATAATCGAGTCTGGACCAGACAATCCAGTGATTGTTGTCATGAACATCGATCCACACAATTGGGATACGATGACATGCACCAAGTCAGCGAGCCTGACCACCCGATCCCGATGTGGTCGCCTCTTACGACAAGCATAGTCGCCTCTTACGGCAAGTAGGATTCTAAGCCGGATCGTCACGGTTACATTCATATTTGTATTAAATATGTAAATCAAACGTGCTTTTACATATGTACACAAGTTGATAATGTGTCAAGGGGATACATATCTTTTAACAGAGCTATGCTTTTATACATTGCATGCTATATATAGTGTGTGACTGTTGTGGATAGTGAAAAATAGTCTAATGATTGTAGTTGGCGAAGGTTCCTGTGATGTTGTGGCCTGTAATCAGTTCTCCACTTACATCATTACCGACATACATCATGACCCACATGGGTCTGTCAAAATCAACATCTGTGACGGTGGTGTACACTGTGTTATCACCGGCATCAATAACCAATATTTTGTCATTAGCCCCATCCATTAGAAAACATAGTTGTAGGTCAATAGATTGTCCAACTCTGTTTTGAATGAGAGGGCGGTCAGTGAGGAAGGTGCTATTATAGAGCACACGGAGACACAGCTGCTGCTTGTGGTAGGGGCATGTAGCAAAATATACACTCAGTCCAGTGACTTGATTACCGCCAGTATCTACAGGGGTGGGAGTCAGGGCAATCTCTTGTATAAGTGTATTATCTTCTATCAATTCGTTTAGACAAACCCGAAACTTTACGCGATACATGCATCGCTGGCCTTGACAGTTTTTAACCATTAAAGGCCTGGATGCCAGACATGAATTGATATCTTGTATCCGACATCCTGTGTCAGGAGAAGGGACGGCTGAGGTGGTGTTTGTGATCACACATCCAGACACGTCAATATTGTTATGAGCAGTGCTTGAGTCCCATTCCAGAGTCGGGCCTGTGAGAAGAAAACGTCACAAGACACTACTATCTACCAACCAGAAAAAGAAAGTCACAAGTTATCATAGACATTTATAAGAAGTGTTATATCAATTTCAAATGTCATAAGCGTTCTTCTTCTATACATTGGGGTGGTCGGGTAGCCTAGTGGTTAAAGGGTTCGCTCGTCAAGCCGACGGCCGGGTTCGATTCCCAACATTGGTACAATTTGTGAAGCCCATTGCTGTTGTCCCCCGCCGTGATATTGCTGGAATATTGCTAAAAGTGGCATAAAACCTTACTCACTCACTCACTCTCTTGTATATTTCTTATTCATGACATTGAAAACCCAAGAACCTCTTGCATGGAACATCGCTAACGCAAATCCTATCATAGCTCCTATACTTTTACATTGACGACACTGCGTTTTACGCTCGTTCAGATCTCGAAAGTGATCGAACCTATCGAACTCAACAGACAAATGAATGACAAAACCAATGAATAATATACTGTAACATCATTGAGTCAAGGACGCAGATCTTACATGTTATCTTCTGGTCACAGATGCTCCGGTCCATCGCCATCACTGAAACAAAGATATTAATCATTATGTGTGTCCCATGTACACGTACTGCCTGCTCCCACTACTTTAATGCAGAAGGTCTACTGTGAAGATCAAGGTCAGAATAGGTCTAACGGGATCGGGTGGTCAGACACGCTGACTTGGTTGGTGCATGTCATCGTATCCCAATTGCGTACATCGATGCTCATGGTGTCAATGACTGGACTGTCTGGTCCAGGCTCGATTATTTACAGCCCGCCGTCATATAGCTGCCATATTGCTGAGTGTGGATTCAAACAACAAACAAACAAATAATGCAGAACGTACCTGTTTTAACAATACCATCATGTGAAAAAGGAAGTACAACATGCAATTCACTGGACGGGACTGTGTCCCTCAGCTGCCACACGTAATGGAATCCCAGACATCAACGTGCGCCAAGTTGGTGTTCGTACCATATCAAGCTGACAGGGCACGATAATGTCTGACAGACTGTTATCCCCTGGGTACCACAGGGACACGTATGTGTTTGTCCTTCAACCCCACTTTGAGGTTGAATATATAGAACATCTGATTTGTCAAGACGCCAAATTTTATTTCTGAAACGTCACCACGAACCAAAGTTTGTTTAAGGAAAACCTCGCAAACATGATTGCAGAAAGGAACTTTCCGTCATTGAATATCAGTGTCCTAGCACTATGAAATCGGCATTGATCCAAACCAGTACAAGCAGCCACACACACACACACACACACACACACACACACACACACACACACACACACACACACACACACACACACACACATGCACACACACATGCACACACACACACACGCACACGCACACGCACACGCACACGCACACACACATGCACACACACACACACACACTAACACACACACACGCACACACATATGCATGCATGCAGGTAGCTTTATCAGTACAATAATCTGGGAAGCGACGTTAATACCCTATACACCTCACTTATTACATTTAAACGTCTTCTTCTTTATGTGAATGTAGTACGACCCGTTGTAACTGTGACTTTGTGAGGTTGGTTGGTTTACGGTTGCCAGTGTGAACATGACGTCCTATTTGAAGATGTGTACACAAATAGTGAAATAAAAACATGATAAGAATTCAATTTGACATTTTGTGTGAGTTCGAGGATGGGTTTCCATAGAGTAAGGGACAAACTGTATGAACGTCGGAGCTTTCACGTCAATTCTTAAATAACAAAATTAATCATATTTTATTCTTAAAATATGTAAAATACTGAGACAAAATGAAGAGAATAACCACATTCTAATTACACACATACGTCCGATATTAACAACAGATTTGACTTTTTAGATTTCTTTTTTATATGTAGTATTAATGTCTATGTTATCAAAAACGCAGGTTTCAGGTGAACGCACGTTGATGAAATATATCACTATTTTGATCAATATAGCAATGTCGTCACGTCTCATTGCCATGTCTCCAAAGACATAAAACAAGTCATGACGTGAAACGAAATTGTGTCAAATTTTCAGTTTTCATCATATTTGCTAGCACTTGATTATTAATGGTACACCATGAGTCACATGACACTGACACAATCAGGTGAATGCTTGAACCCAGGGACTAATTTACGTGTAAGATATGGTCATCCATTTCGCTATGACTTCCTATGTGTGTAGTATGATATCCTCATTAATTATTATTTGAGATGACGTTGGAATGGACTGGTTAATTGTGAACAAAACAATGCGAAAATACATTGTCGTTATCCACAGCAAATTATCACCAAACTCGTATGCATAACGTTATATATAAACATGCAAATCAGCTTGATATAGATTTAAGTCCTTCAGAAATTAGACAGTATTTTGTTGGTGTACGAAAAAATGTGGTGCAATGTGCTACGAGTTGCCGTATAACAAAATCTCGGCAACACAAAGCACTGTCGGTTTCTTGAGCGAGTTCAATGATTGCAGTTAATTTTACACCATGACTTATTTAATTTTCAGATCTTATAGAAATGTGCGTCATACAACTCATTCGTCATCCAGAAAGTAAAGACTGGCATGAACTGGCATTGTTTATCATTGAGTGATTATGAGCAGTCTATTAGTCAAAATGTTAAATAACTATATATTGTTATCAATCGATACTTGCAGTATGGATTCAGGGAACAGTCTTTATGTCTTTTTGTTTATGTTCATAAATGTAATACATCCGCACAAACGTAAGTGTCAATTACGTGTACACTAAAATATTTGCATATTTGTACCTGAGGCTACATATGAAGTAATTCTTATTAATAAATACGTTGAAGTTATGACTTCACATGATGTCTTTCTAATCCTTAACACAAAAGAAACTGTAGATAACATACAAAATCAGATTATCGTTTAGCGCAATAACGCAACTACAGCCCAACCCATTCTTTTATCAGCAAATCAGGACACAGTAGTCGGTTAGTGGACGTGGCCTTATTTGTTTTCGGTTTATGGACTCATAAATAAAACGTGACAACAAACTTTTCCATAACAGCGTAAATAAACTTTGAGGCAATATCTTTTCGCATTTCCAAACACTGATTGGTTACCGGTGATGTATGAAGTCTCCGATATTACAAAAGTGCACATGCTATTTAATTTCTTCAACCTAATCAAACAGACAAAATGAACGGTCAAAGCCCATCCGATGTCATTATTTGGAAATACCCCTGATGGTTATGGTTTAATCAAAATGTATCCCTGCAATGAAAGCAGTTTTAGATTTTGGATGACATGGCTAACACCAGGGAGACCATACAAAGGATAGTCTATATACGATTGCCACTCCCTTGTCATCCATCTATCCTGGTATACCAACACCTGTGTATTTGTCTTCATTCACTTGATGCTCAGTTAATGAATTTATTACAGATATAATTAGTGGTAGAACCACTCAGTTTACCTGACAAAGCTTCCAATTTGGCTTTTCTTGTGTCTGGGGTAATTATTCAATCCAAATCCAGGTTTTGTTTTAATCCTATCATTTTCAGCTTGGGGATGAAATTAAACATCAATTGGAATTCGTTATAATACATTTTTCAGTCAATTTATAAAATAACAGAACAATTAGAAGTTTGATAAATTGCATAGTTGAACATTTTAGTCATATTACACATTGGCTATAACATTTAAAAACGATAGAATAAGCAGTGCGCAGGTGAAAATTAAATAAAAGTGACAAATGCGCTGACTGTTGGCGCAGCACAGGTCGCGAACAAGTCGAGATTTCTGGGATACCACCAGGGTACTTACGGTAAAACACATCAACAAAGGCAACAATCAGACCCGGGGAATTGTTGAAGATCAGTGCCCCTTTAAAGGAGACGAAGCAAGTCTGGTTGATTTCCGTTTATGTTCAAGTGAATAATTTACCACAGTACTGTACGAACATGGTATGAGTCGGATCATTTTTGTCATTGGAAGTAAATACGGCCCACAGTGCAACGGCTTACCGGGCGACAAACGAGGATAATAATGTATCATGAAATATTAAGAGATTACACTGCAAACACGAAAACGTCGTTTTTTTCCGTATATGGTCATTGGACGGAAAAACGACTAAAAATTCATTAAAATTGATTAATTGGTCAGCGTCTAGAAAGTGTCCAGAAAAGGGTCGAGTTTTTCAAGCGTAAAATGGACGGAAAAACGATGCTTTTTGCTCCGCCTTGTACAACTGTTAACGGCCAATCAGATGGCGCTGGTCCCCCGACGCACGTGATGTCCAAGGCTTCCTTTCGGAAGCTTTAGGTTTCGTATTTCTGGCATGCCTTGCTCTAGTATCTCTCGCGCGCAGTGCAGCGAGATTTGCTGATAAGCTAGTTTTAGGATATGTTACATGTTAATGGAATTCAGACACGCGCCAAGAAGTCAAACCAAACAATGTTACTAAGTTTATTGTGGTGACGGCTATGTACAGTTACCCCTATCGGATAATGGGTTGTGTTTCATTTGGTTATAACAATAACTAATTTTTTAATGTGAAGTTTACAAGATATACGACTTGGACGCGAGGTCGGTCACATGACGTTCTTCACGTGACTGTATTCTTGAAAAGCCGTAAACACTGACTACTTCCACATTCCTGGGGAAAACCCTTGGAATTCCCTGGTACGAATTCATACAGAAGCGTGGTTGCAAGCCCATTTAAGGATACCCTCGCTACAACCCATCCCAGAGAGAAAAAAAACACGAAAAAAAATCCAAACTGTCGCAGTGACAATTTACAGAAATCTATGAATTTACCTTAGTATCTATTTGACACATCTTCACAATCACCTTTCAATGATCGGCCAATTTATCAGTGATGCCAAAGGCTTGAAATAGCCACAGGTTAATTAACAACTTCGAAAATATCTCCCGTCACGTTTATCGTGTCGGCCATTTTGACGTATTGTACTTGATGTAAATGTATTACGACGCTGTCATTGTAATTGACTTACTAAGGTAATTCTGTAAAAGATCTTCTCATCTTATGAGGATATTGTTTGGAATATATTTCTTGTAAACATACAAAAACATATGTTCCTCGCTTTGGGGGGAACTATTTTATTCCGGGGTGGCCCATTAAATCTAGTAGTAAGTCAAGGCACCATGCGTGATCTGTTATTTTATGTGTTTAAATTACGATTTGGGGCGTTAATAAAATACACTGACGCAAGTATATTCTATTCAAATCAATTGGATAATTGAATATGCTTTCTTTTACATATTACATAACATCACTGCACAAAATATGAAAAGTTGCAGTAACACACTACGGTAATCGCATTAAACATCATTTTCAACTGTACAGTATTTCAGTATTTCAGTTATATCATGGTGTATCAGACTGATGTGGGATAAAAATCCGAAGTGGTTCAGGTCATCCAATGGGTGTTCGGGAAAAGGTGAGCGTATCCTGCCACACAAGTGGCACCCGTCACAAACACATGCAAGGACAAGTCAATTGTTCACCTGAACAAAGCACGGAAACAC